ATTATTCCTATTATTATATCGTCTGCATTGGATGCCGAATTTTCAATTTATCATATCTTTGTAAATTCTGAATGGAATTGGACCATTTTTGAATTGATATTCCGTTTAGACATGGAATTTCTTCTAGTCTACCAGTTCCCTGTTCAAACTCTCTTATTAATGTCCCTTATATTTTGCGGACTTTTAGGCAGGCAATGCGGACTTAATTCTGTTTGTGGCATTAGAAGGTAAACTGTGCATTATGGAAGCTGGTAACAAACCTTTCGCTTCATTTTGCCTTCGCGTCAATTAAGTGCGAAGGCGAAGCCACAAAAACGCGACAAATGGCCCTAATCTCGGTCCGTCGTGGTTTCACTTGACTATGGCAAGAAGGCAATAAATAATCATTGCGAAACCAAAAAGTCGTCTTGTCCATATCTTGCCTTATTGCCTTCGCGCTGTTAACTCAAAGCGATGGGGCGAGATTTCTTGCCTTCCGGCCTTTGTAGTCCGGTGGCTGAAGGGGGGAATCGCCACCCGAGCTGTGAATTTATAAGACCAAGTTTTTCTAGGCCAGTTTTTTGCGTAGATTCTGAATCAGGGTGGTGATCAGGCGTTTGAAGGGGTGTTTTCGAAATATGGGGGGGGGGGGCAATGTCTACAATTGGGGGAAATGACATTATGTTGATATAAATGATGATCATGTTATATATTACTAAAACACAAATTTCTGGGATTGTCCATCTCTAAAGAAGTGTATATGATGCCCCTGGACAACTGTGGTGATTTGTTGGGAGGTGGCGTGGCGGGTAGCAGGTGTGCGTGTATGGGGGGGGGGGGGTTAAAATTGGCGGGAAATGAGTTCACGTTGATTTAAATGATGATTTTCTTAGAGCTTGGTAAAAACATTACTTTTTAATTCCGCTAAACATCTCTAAATATGTGTGTAAAATTCCCATTGTATGGGTGGGGAGGGGGGTGGACAAAATGTAATTTTGGGGACAGAAACCATTCGGTTGAAAATTGACCTGAAAAGTGTTTTCTCGTTAGCTTTTTCGTTCAATCTGAACAAAACACACAGATGCTATTTCGTTTCGTTTTTTATAGTTCAAAATTTCGTTTTACTTGTCTTCACAACACTAGGATCTGAAAGAGTTGTTATATAACAGGCGGTCTAGTTGATGTGAGGAATTAGGTAATGAAACTGACTGTTACGGCATGTTCTTGGCGTGCTCTGCACGGAACTGTGGGTAAACCCCTAGAAAAGTCAACGCTGATTTAATTTAATCTATGTCTGACGTCACAGGGTCAAAAGCCACTCGTTTTCTCCTGGTACAACTGGTCAGTTCTTCGTGTAGTGTAGGCCATCGAAAGTATAGAAACACGAAACGAAATATACATCTGTATTTTTAATCAGATTGATTTTTTGTTCAGTACCAATTTCATCATCACAAATAATAATATTAAATTATAATGGTAATTTTGAAGAGAATTGGAAATGTACATAAAATACACAGTAAATTAGAGACATGTTTAGATATTAGTTTATTCTTAGTCTTCATCAGAAAATTCAAAATCAGAGATCACAGGGGCGTCGCAAAATGAGGGCACTGACCGCGGAGACGGGGCACGCCGCTTGGGGGGGGGGGGGGCACCAAGACAACTATCTGTCATTTCCTTGCATCTGTAGCCATTCCAAGAGCTATTTGGCTGATATTTTCATCTAAGTAAACGTTCGAAAATCGTTGAAAAAGAGCCTTAAAATCGAGCAAAAAAGCCAGTTGAACATACGACTCGAAAATTGTCAAGGCGAGCGAGGTATTATGATGGGAAAAAAAAGACGAATCAATTCCCTACCCACTTCACTATTTAAGCCTTGTAACTTGTACTGTGTACTGTCCACACATGAAACAATGCTACATCATGCGCGTCGGTGATGAGCGTGAGTGTAGTATACGCCGACGATTCCATAAGATGCTATCATTGATGTCTGTCTATAGTCACTCTATAGGATTAGGGCACCGTCAGCTAAACAACAAGAATTCGTTTGAAAGTGGAAGCATTAATTAGACCAGACTGGTGTGTTTGAGTCGAAGGTTTGAGTCATTTGGGAAACCTACAACATGTTTGGAACGGACATATTTGGGTCTGAGAAAAAGCACTTTCAGCAGTACATTTCCAGATCTCTTGAAAAGTACCATTTAAATTTAATATATTGAATGACGAAAAAGATAATGAATGAAAAAGCTAACGAGAAACCACCTTTAAGGTCAATTTTGAACCAAATGATTTCTGTTCACAAAAAAAACATGCTACCCCCCCCCCCCTCCACCATAACCCGCTCAGCCCCGCGGGCACCCACCCCGGCGTCCATCCCCACACAATGGGAATATTATAAACATATTTAGAGATGTTTCATCAAGCTATAAGAAAATCATCATTTAAATCGACGTGAACTCATTTCCCGCCAATTTCCCCCCCCCCCTTCCATACACACACGCACACCTGCAACCACCCACCCCAATTCGCCACAAATCAAAACAGTTGTCCAGGGGCATCATAAACACTTATTTAGAGATGGACAGTCCTGGAAATTTATGTTTTATTAATAATTGTATAACATGATCAGCATTTATGTCAACATAACTACATTTTCCCCCAATTGTAGACATTGGAACCCCCCTCCCCATATCTTGAAAACCCCCCTCAAACGCCTGATCACCCCCCAAATTCTGAATCTACGCGAAAAACTGGTCTAGAAAAACTTGGTCTCATAAATTCACGGCTCGGGTGGCGATCCCCCCCCCCCCGCCCCTTCAGCCACCGGACTATTGCTTCGCTATGACAATCTGTTTCACATGGGTAATAAATAAGAAAGCCTTCTTTTAACTCTGTACATGATAACTGACCTTTACGGTCACGCCCAGTATAGTTATACGTATGACATCACATGGTGTTGATAACACGTGCGTTGTTTACATCGGGTGTAGTATTAGTAATACAAACTGTACCCATTTCCACTAAATATTAAATATTTCAAACCCAGCTATACTTTAAACACCTTTATTTAGTTTTCTAATAATTCAAAACATGCTTTTAGAAGTTTGTGCGATATCATCTTGCGTGTGCAAGGAACGAAATCATGCAAACAATGTCCCGAGTCACACAATTAGCAAAACAAAAAGGGATGGTATTACAGAATCAATTCCACGCCTTAAACTGAATGGAAATCATAATAGACAGTTACCTGATTCTGCAACAACTCTTTAAGCCTCAAGTACACGTTGTGATTCACTTGACCACCCTTAGTCATCTCATCTAAATATTATATATTCAGCTCGCGTTCTCTGTACAAGATAAGGCACGATTAATATTGTTGTAGCTATAGTACGTCATTGCTTCCCCATCATAGAACAAGTACATGGGTACGAGAAAGAGCAAAAGTCCATTGAATCTTTTCGACTTAAAGGGGAAATAACCAAAGAAAAGATAATGATGTTAAGATGAATATCGATTGGGATGAGAAGAACCCTCACCTATACCTTGAACTGTATACGGCGTATTTTGTTCTCTCTAAATGTGGATTTAAATGGATGTAACTTGTCATTTAGGCAAAAGCAGACGATCTGAATGTCAATGAAGCATAAATATTGGGTTAGCAAGATGATATTTTAGGATATTTATCTTTATTGCGATGGAAAACCACTATCGCGAGCGATTATCTCGAGCATCGGGCACTCGTGAATTTGACTAAATTTCCAAACGTGGCTCGCGGAAGTTGTGCCAAGGTTGCCCTGATTGTTTATTTAGCAGGTGTCTTTTGAGAAGGATAATATTTTAAAAACCATATGGTACACAATAAAGAAATAAAATAAAATGAAATAGAGTTTAACGCCCCACTTTTCTGAACCGACTGGACTAATAAAGGCGGGCATATTAGGGGAAATTTGTCGGGATAGCGGCGCTACGGCCCACTCTTAATTTTGAAGTTCAACTGACACGGTAGATCGAATCACGTCGGAAAATCACGACGGACTTTCTCGGCCAACACGGGGATCGAACACCTGACCTTCAAGTTAGCCAACCAACGTCTTATTCACTGAGGAATCGCGGGTACCACATACGGTAAAAAGATATGCGTGTTGGTATTATTTTTTCTTTACTTTAGAGTGTGAAATTAACGTCCCAATTCCCAAGGTCAATATATCTCAAATATATTTTATCCAGTTTATAGGCTTGAATCGATTCCGGTATGAGATATTATACTGACTTATTAACGCCTGTCTATATAATAAGGACAGGTATCCATGGTGCCAATAATAGCAAGCTCCTGTGGCGTTTAATAGTCTCAAACAGTACATAATACTGCTACAAGACTTAACACTACGATCATATCATGGTTATTTGTAGGGGGGGGGGCGCCTCGTTAGCACGTGCGCGCTGTATCATAAGGTCTGTCATTGAGTCAACTGGCGTAGTGTCGATTCCCCGGTTGTACGTGACAAGGAATTTGGGCATCTGTACAATCGCCTGGGTTTTGTCTGGGTCCCCCGGTTTCCTCACACTGCTAAAAAAAAACCTACGCGCAAGCGAATTATTGAAATAAAATTGAACCATATGTTAGTCCCAAAATGAACTAGTTTGTGTCGAGTGGACGTTACCCCCCCCCCCCTCTCTCTCTCTCTCTCTCTCTTATTTGTAGTAATTTACAATGATTGCACGATATTGATTTTAAATTGTATTAATTAAGTCCGTTTTTAAATGTATGTGTCTACAATAATGAATCGTATTGTATACACAGAGAAGAATTATTGCAACACTGGAATGTTTATGCGCTCAAGAGCAATACATTACGCAGGTGAAATAAAATAAGCCGGTTGTTGCAAAAACATAGAAAAAACTAATGATGTAATTGACCGCTGACGTTCTCGTAGACCTTACAGTACTTCTGCAAGGTATGGTGCAGCACTATTGAGACCCGTGCGACGTTATCCTTTTCCAGAAAGCACTATTGCACAAACACCGGAGTCTATAATACATTTTATGACAAAGTGAAATACAGTACATCGAACTACTATCTGTAAATTCATTTTAAAAGAACTTGTGAAGCGTATGCGACATACAATACCAGATACATATGATGTACTCATTTATCCAGAACTTCAGATGTGTGTCAACAGGTGAGGTTACTGAGACCAAAGGTTCTTGTAACTTGTTGGCTATCACAAACTCTCCATGTGTGAAGATATTTTAATTAATGACATCTAATAACCAGCGGCTGCCAGGCAGGATATGCCCACATCTTGCAAGAGATGGATAGAGAACAAGTTAAAAACAAAAACGATTTTTTGTACAATCAGGGGCCATAATCCAGAAAGTTATTGTCTGAAATGCGCAAATATCAAAAAGGACTGGGATCTTTGGGATATAAAGATATGTTTTAAGTTTCATCAAAATCGGATAAAAATTGTGTCCTCTAGAGGGTCCACAACCTTCACATTACACACTTCTACACAATTTGCGTACAAAGAGCGGCAATTTTTTCGGACAGTTTAATTTCGATTTTCCCGAAATTCGAATTCAATCTTCATTATGGTGGAATGGTGATGTATTTAAACGGTCTTTAAAATAGGAAAGAAATTGTGACCTCTAGAGAATCCACAAGCTAAAAAAATTCTGGAGAATCCGCAAGCTGGCCATAATCCAGAAAATTAATTTTGTTTGTTTAAATTTATTCGAGATTCGTTACCAACGTAGTACAATCTAAATCTTCAAAGGTTATCTTAAAAGTCTAACTAGAGCCGCTGATTAAAATAAGTCTAAACCAAGACAGCCCGTTCCTATTAAAAGTCTAACTAAAGTCAGTGATTAAAATACGTCTCCAAGACAACCGGATTAAGATCGACAAAATGATATGTCATCTTTAAGTCAGTTGAATTCAAACTCCTTAGAGAAATTATTTGATCCTGTAAATGGAAACAACACAAAGCTAGACTGCAAGGTTGTGATGGTGATATAAGAATGCACAGAAATGAACAATAAATATCAAATAAAAGGATTGCATGAAAATATATTCAGGTTTAAACCAGCAAAAGGAGAGATATCCAACGCAAAATAAAATTGTTTATTATGTAAACTATAAACTGATTTATCGCAGCCCAAACTATTATTAAATATTACAATTAAGAAGAGCTGAAATTCAAATAAAATCCATGAATCATACATTTAAACTGCCACGTAACACAACATAAGCTAAACCAACCCAGGAGTACTTGATACCAACTCAGGAGTACTTGATAGTCGAGAATAAATATATTTCAAGACCAATGTAGCCCTGTTTGGAATGGACAAGTATGTGATATATATTTTGCACACACTTCTTTTTTAAAATTTTGTTTTCATATTGCATATTGGTTTTCGCACTCGATTTCTTTTTACTGGATTAACGTTATACGTCAAATTTGGGTATTATTTCAAGACAGCTCCGTTTCATGACCAGTCCCAAAGTATTAGAAAACACTGTCTTATGCACATAGTTAATGGCACCTTAATATGGGTACTATTTCAAGAAGACAGATCCCTTTCATCACCAGTTCCGACCAAGATTCCACAAACGTTTTAGCACTAACTTGATGCGTAGTTCCCTATAAATATAAATATTTCACTTCACATTAATTTTTTAAAAGCCACAAAAGTATTCACGCGCATTTGATTGTATGCTAAAGATGTGTTGCGCGTATATAGAGTTTTTTTAAAAGATAAATATATTAGTTCACAGTGTTGTTTCTGATGTGTCGTAAGTCAGTTTGTAATCTTTAGCAGGTCCCCAATTTTTATTGGGCTCAAATGCTGTTTTAATCCTCTGAAAAATAAACATATAAGAGTTAAATGCATGCTATGACCATTTAACTACATGCCTACCTTATACCCTACAAGTATTATGCCTATCCAAAACATTATATGACTATCTAATTCAATTTATAACTAGCATATGTCAATCCGATGCAAAATATGACTATCTAATTCAATTTATTTTATGATCAGTAGTGGAATACCGCGTTTTATCAGTGAAATAAAAGTGTTATTCCACTGGCTAGCAGTAGTCCATGTTGTTTTTACCTAAAATGATTGTAAAATCATAAAATAAATAGAACATTTGTCGTTTTGTCGTGAATAACATATTTTATTTCATCTCTAAGCAAGAAAACGTTTATATTTTCACTCATGCTACGCACTCGTGAAAATATAAGTTTTCTTGCTTCTCGATGAAATAAAATATGTTATTCACTCTAAAACGACAAATATCCTCTATATATAAGTAGCATAAATGCATATCCATTGATGACTGTTCATTATAAATGTTATGTCCATTCAGTATAAGATACTGAAATGTAATATGACAATTATTCAATATTATATATGACCATATATATTGAATATAACACATGTGTATTTTACCCGTTTCAATGGTCCTTTTCTGTTTATTATATCCTTCACAAGCCATATAGGAATAGGTAAACATGATGCCAAGGCAATAATCCAGCCTAGAGCAGGCGCATAATTCGGATATACATAATCTCCATATGTAGGTGGTTGATATTTTACCAATGTGAATATAAGAACCACCTGAAATCAATAAACATATATTTGGTTTAACACCAAAATTTATAAATGAACCACGTTAAATTAAATAAGTTAATCACTTATGTATAGCCAATATATCTTATGTTTGTAGGCAATAAAAACACAACAATCTGTTCAATCTGACACTAAAAATAAATAGAAACGCGCCCTTTCTTACATATAATGTATACATCGACATTAATATACTTACAGTTAATAGAATTGGATTTAGAAATCGCCAGAGATATTTAAATATTACTGGTGGACGCTTTCCTAACATCATTTCAAGGTCATCTAAATATCGATCAGCACCTGAAGAAAGGGTGAATATTGTACCAAAATATTGTACACATTAGACACTTTGGTCATGGTTAAATGACAGCGTATTTATTATAATATAACATATTTTAATTATAAAATATTGTTATGGCAAAATATGTATGGAACATTGATTAATGGTCAATTTATGGCCTTCATTTGTCCAGACAAGGGGAACAACCTTCAATTGTAAGCAGAAAGAGTCACCGAGTACTTATTTTCTAATCGATTACAGAATTGATTTCAATGGCGGCCATTGTGTCACTAGTCCAAAATTCAACATTAAATATTCACTTTGTTGAGTGATATTTATTTATTCAAATACAAAAGATCCATCGCACATTTTTTTTTCATAGAATGTTAAATATGGACACATGCCGCGCAACCAACCATCCACAAACTAATCAGAAGTTGTACTCGTACAAATTATATAACTTGTATTTCATAAAGGGATAAATGTGAGTGAATTCTAAACACTTACCATACAACCATCCTACAACGAAACTTTCTAGAATTGTTATTGAAAATAAAGTGAGCGCGGCCATGTACCAATCTACTAGTTGAAAAATATAAATACCATTCTAAAACATAGAAGAAAAATATTTATATAAAATGTCAAGGTGTATCTTCAACACTAGCAACATTCAAAGGGAACTCGAATCCCCGGTTGTACGTGACAAGGAGTAGGGTCGCCTGTCCAACCTCGTGGGTTTTCTCCGGGTCCTCCGGTTTCTTCCCACTGCTAAAGACCCCTACGCGCAAGCGAATTATTGAAATAAAATTTTAAAAGACCATACGTTAGTCCCGAAATGACCTGGTTTGTGTCGAGTGGACGTTAGTCCCGAAATGACCTGGTTTGTGTCGAGTGGACGTTAAACCCCATTTCTCTCTCTCTCAATGGGAACTCAAATTTTTGAAGGTGCATAATATGCTCTATATGTGTACCTGCGCTCTGACGCCATAGTAACGCAAAGCACAATCTCTAGTGCAACCTGTAAAACAACAGTCCTGTTTATGAAGATACAAATTGTTTGAGTTACTATTTAAATTCCAATCACATGTTACCAACAATGAAAATAAATTATACAACTCAAAACAATATCCAATTTTCACCTTGGTATATTTTGAGATCACAGACCAAATTCATTAAGAAAAAAAAAATAAACGTCGCGAGTTCGGTGAATTGTATATATTTATAGAAGGTGTCTCCGTGAAACTATATGTTAACATAGCATACTCTACTGAATCGATTGGTAAAAATAAAGAAGTAACTGGGCATTGATTTATAATATGCATACATGCTATATTTATGTACAGTCATGTTATATTAATTTTCAGTTGGGGACGTTAAAGGTTTATTTATATAAGTCGTAATAATTAAAAATAATTTAAAGCTATACGAAGTGAAGTTTCTGTATTTTCTGATTCGTGTATATGTTTACTATATTGTATACTAAAGTTTACTTACTTGTGTTGTATAAACTAAAGTAAATAAGCTCATTAAAAAACAGGTACTAGCTGTAACCATTAACCGGGTTTTCGATGTTAAATTTGGTATTAAATCTGTTAAAGTTGTTATAACGACCTCTACACTAACAAACTGACAAATAAAATTGAAAAAAAACCAAATTTGATTATTAATTGATATATTTTGGAAAAATTGTGACTTCTTTCTTTAAACAAAAATGTGACTTGAGGAATGAAATAATTTTTGTACATTTTCTTAAATGTGAAAACATAAAATAATTTTTTTTATAAAATGTAAAAATTTAATTCAAAAATGTAAAAATTTAATTCAAAAATGTAAAAATTTAATTCAAAAATGTAAAAATTTAATAGTAAATATGTTAAATATCAATAAAAATAAATGTACAATTCAGGCGGTTTAAACCTTTTTTTAAAATATAATATGCGAAAATTGAAATTTTCAAACAAATGTGAAAGTATAAATACAATTGCATTTTCCGCCCACTAGGCACAAGACTTAATAAGAATTAGTGTCGCCACATGTAATGAGGAAATTTTGTCCCAAGAATTAAAACTTACCATAGAATCTATGGAAACAAACAAAAGCATCAAAAAGAAAAGAACCGCCCATAGTTGAGGTAATGGTAATTGGCTTAATGCTTCGGGGTATGTAATGAAGGCTAACCCCGGACCTGAAAACAAAGGAGTCATTATAAATGCTGAACGTAAAATGCATTATGCCATGTCAGTTTTGGGGCGTCCGCGAAAAATACTTTGGCTATTCGCTTTTTGTCGTTGTAAGTGTATTTGTGTATATGAGTGTATTTTTGTGGTAATATTGTCCCTTTAACTCGACTGAAAATAAAATCAATCGAGGTCTTGCCTATTTACCGCAAGAAGATACCACTTTCGTCTAGTGCATCGCGATGTAACCTGGGGTCCAAGCTAATCTACCCCCAACACGAGACAGTTAAGCTATGACTGTCTTTAAAGATACATTATGTAAGATTTATTCACAAATAGATACATTTCAGACACAGCACTTTATTCTGAGCGAATAATTGTAATTCGTACAATATTCTCGACAATCCGATATCCAAGAGAGTTTTTGGCATGTCCTGTGAATAAATGTCTAAATAATAGGACTCGCAATAGGCGGCTTTAACTCGTGCATAATGCATCTTTAAATAAAAATAAATGAAATCGTGTTTAACGTTCTACTGTTCTGCTCCGAACTGGGCTAATGAAGACGAGCATACGCCATACAGTGTGCTGTAAGGGAAATTTTGTCCGGACAGCGGCACCGCGGCCTACTCTTATATCGAATTCCAACTGTCAAGGGACCTCGGATTTTCGTTCCATCCGAACGACTAGACAGCTGTCCTTGTGAGGCAATCCGTCCTGCATGACTGACAAGGGGGACCCACGCGGTACAATCTTTAAAAATAAACACGGAAACGTATTTTTTCCATTTATTTTCAGGATAATTTATGATGACAGTATATAATTACTTTACGGTAGATTGCGAGCTGTCCTGTCGGTTAAAGTTCACGTTGATATATGGTCACGAAAAAATCATTGGTTACATTCTGATGTTGCGTCAAGACATTAAAATATATTATATAACTAAAGGAAATTAGGCCCGTAGTGCGGTTCTCCTGCACTTACTATTAAACCAAGATCAGCGTCTTTAAACGTTAATAATTTATTACTTTTCCTGAAAAAGCACATGTCGTATGGTATAAATATATTAGTCAAATTGTGGATTATATCTCCGAAATCACCCCATTAAAGCAAATAATCCTAATAGATGCTGTCAAATAGCTCGGGCCTTTGGAGAGTCATTACAAGAGCACGTTACCTGTGTTGACAATATCTTCAACCAGTGAACCCGTTTTATGAGACATAAATCCAAGAACAGAAAACACAACAAATCCTGCATAGAAACTAGTCCCTTCTCCTATACAACAGTATATGACGGTATCTCTGAAATATACACAAATATTAATGTAGACATACACATTATATATAAACGTGAACTTTTAAGCTGGAAAAGATGAGCCTAAAATTATGTAATGTATTTCTTATTATAGGTAGTTTTCGGGAGTTATCAATATTCATAATAACGCATTGAAAATATCAACGAATTCACGCATAGCAACAGACAAAATTTGAAAGGAAATTTAAGAACAATCAAGCCTGTATTTGTATTAAGATGCCAACAGTTTCTGGAAGCTACTGCAGTCACCTACAATATTCTTACCTTAATATATTGTTATTAAATTTATTATAACTGGCCATAGTGGTGAAACCACCCCATCCGATTCCCATCGAAAAGAAAATCTGCATCAGTGCCTGTATCCATACCTACAAGATAGCAGCACCGCAGTTCACATAATATGTTAGGAAGTGAGTTAAACTAATCCTAATCCGGATTAGATTCGCGAATAATTAAAAAGCAGTCTTCAAACCCGATATTGAAACTCGAATTACCTGAACATTGGCCAGTTTACTAATATCAGGAATAATGTAGAATTTGATACCATCTATGGCACCAGGTAGTGTAACAGCTCTAACCAGGATAATAGTAATAAATACATAAGGTAAAGTTGCTGTCACATACACAACCTACAATTAATCAAAATAGAGGTTATATAAAAGTTAGATCATGACTAAATGTATGGCGGAGATATAAATGTTTTATATTGTAAAAAAAAGCACCTCTTTAAATGCCTAAAGGGAGCTACGGTGGCTACGCGGGTAAGACGCTGGCTCGCTAGCCTGGAGATCGCGTATTCGATCCCTGCATTTCCCGAGAAAGTTCATCGAAATTGTCCGACGTTGTTTCCACTTGTCAGTGGTGCAGGACGGTAGGCCTGACAAGGGCAGCTGTCTAGTCGTTCGATGTGACGAAACACCGAGGTTCCGTGTATACATTGGCGTGCACGTAAAAGATCCTTTGGCAGCAGTTGAAAATCGGTATAACCGTAGGCCATAGAAACGCTGCCCGGGTAAAAGTGCATAGACTGTGACAAAATTTACAAACAATGCATGAGGTAGATGGAATGTGGGCTACTGCAAATATAATGCAATTTTACTGCATGCATGTATGCTGAAGATGAAAGCACTACGCCCTTACCCAGGGGCCTGTTTCACGAAATTTTAACTAAGATAAAATCCAAATTTTAGTAATTTAATTGGGTTGGTTTTAGTGCTTAGCCAATCAAAATTGAAGTATCTACTCAAATTTGGATTTTATCTTTAGTTAGGATTTCGAGAAACAGGGACCTGATTTTGAATAATATTTTACCAGTGACTGACCTTTCCAACTGTTTTGACACCCTTTACTATACAGCCAAATATCATTAGCCAGCCGACCGCCATTGCTACAACAAGATGCCACTGCATGGTACCAAAATCTCCTAATCCAGCAGATATCCTCAGTACATTGTGACTATACAGAAAATAAATATCTTTGATATAAAGAAACCAATGTGAGCATTCATAATAATGTTAAAGCCGGCATGTGTCAATTGTCGGAGGGTATTAACATGTTTCTTTTTGCGTTTCGCTTTACGATATTTATTTTGTTTACAAAAGATGTCGACTACATTGACATGTTATGTCTTGTAATACTATGTTTTGAAAAATGCATTGCTGCCAAATTGTGACATGTACGCGGCCTATGTTCATTTCAAATGTAAACATAATATTTGTGATTGGTCAACTTTGGGAGGTGGGGGCAAATTAATTGGGAACCCGGATTATGTCGTCAACAAGAATCGAAAGCCAATTAGACTTACTTCCAAAATTCTTCTGATGCTGTAAAATGTTTTACTGAAATATTAGTACTGTTTACCACAGAAAATATATTTTCGTTTATTAAATAACCAGTTTCATTAATTCCGTAAGTTTGATTTAATCCATATGTGAATGTTTGATCCGTTCCGTTAATAGATGAATTCAAAGCAACTTCTTTTACAGTTTTAACAATGCACGTGTCTGTATTCCACCAATTATCACAGGTCGTCCATGGTAAGGGTGACATGAAGGAATGAACTAGATAGTATAAAATCCAGGCTAGGATCATGTTAAAGTACATACTGTTTATGGTGGAAAATACGGTTGCAGCAGCACCCAAACCTTAAAATGAACAAGATAGAATTTAATATATATAGTTAACGACCATTGCACCAAGTTATAGATTCAAATGACTGGACGTCTTTATATCTCGAAAATTAGGGGGTCACGGTGGCTAAGTGGGTAAGACACTTGCTCGCTAGCTTGGAGATCGGGTGTTCTATCCCTGCATTGGCCGAAAAAGTTCATCCAGATTTTCCGGCGTTGTTCCCCCCTTGTCAGTGTTGCAGGCCTGACAAGGACAGCTGTCTAGTCGTTCGGATCGGACAAAAACCGAGGGCATGACAAGGACAGCTGTCTAGTCTTTCTGATGGGACGAAGAACGAGGTCCTGTGCACACATTGGCGTGCACGTAAAAGATCCCTTGACAGTTGGAATTCGATATAAGAGTAGGCCGTAGTGCCGCTGTCCGGACAAAATTCCCCTCATAGCACACTGCATGGCGTATACCCGTCTTCATTAGCCCGGGTTTGAGCAGAACAGTAGGACGTTAAACTCCATTTCATTTCATTTCATTTTCTTTTCTCAAAAATTAAATTGTCTATTTCATAGGAGGTTATCGGTCAGTTTGATTTGTGGGTGAAGATTTGTATTCTGGAAAACTTTACGTCTCTTGGTAAAACCAGTATTGACATATAACCAATTTTGTTTTCAATTATCAACACAGTAAACCAAAAATTAAACTAACATTAGCTCACAAGCAGATCCCGATCAATCTATCGAAAAAAAACCATTTGATTGTTGCTGATTGCACCACTCAGTCCTTGATTTCAAAAGTTTCGTTTTCATACTGTTGTAATTAATTTGACAAGTTTACCTCTGAATGCAGGGCACAAATCCCAAACATCGTAGGTACTTTTTCCAGAATATTGTCCAAGGGAAAGTTCTAAAAATGTCAGCGGTAAAGCTAATGTAATCATGAATACAGCATATGGAATGAGAAACACCGCTGAAATATAAAAAAGGTCAGTAAGTTAACTGTGAATACAGCAAGCAACACGATAACGTTGTTGTTTCAGATTTTAACCCGAGGTAAATATTGAAAGTCGTAGAAAATACAAAATATTCTTCATTTCAAAGAGTAGACAACTCATATCGATTTCAGTTAGATGGATTATAGTGGTTCCCCATTGCGCTAAAAAGAAATATGGTGTGGAATTATATGACAAGCGAAATTCATAATCTTGAACTGAAAAATACATTCAAACTATAAAGAAATATGTGTTTGTCACAGAACATTACATCTTACAATTACCATTTAAGTCCATTGCAACAATAAAGGATGGAGGAGACTTCAGGGTGAATTCATGCAATTGGGCTATTCGGCTGTGTCGGGAAATATTTACTATGTTTTTCTTTTAATATGGGCCATGAAAAGAGGGTCGGAGGAGAAGGTCTACTGATATCCCGTGCAACCTCCTCCCCCACCCTCAAACAAATGAAGCGCGACGTCATACCCCCACCGAAGGACGCCCAGTGTAAGATGGATGGATGAGAATTTCATTTACTTAGATAACAATTAAGAACTGATGCGTAATGGATGGCGCCGTTCTCATATTAAGTGGTTTCGCAAATGTTTTGAATATACATTGTATATATTTTGTTCCTCCTGTCTGTATCAGACATTGTCTGCGATATCACTTAGGTGGAAGCGGACGTTAAATAAAGCTATTTCACACGCTCTGTATCAGTGACAAGAGAGTCATTGCAGAAACGTGGCTCCGATTAAAATACAGTAATTGTTGATTCATAGAACTTTTGTGTTTATTTTGTTGTATTTAATAAGCTATTAAAATTATTACGCGTCTGTCATTTTAATTTTTCTGGGGCATGATACACGCACTTTAAACTTTAACGTCACGGCGTTGATTAATCAAGTGACGTTTTAATACATGTAAACTCTTCATGGTTAGTGGTCTGCCATATATGGTAATGTGGGGTGGCGGTTGGGGTGGGAGATGACCGAATGGTTAGAGCATGCGCCTTGTATGATAAAGTATATCATTGTGTCAACTGGCGTGGTTGCGATTCCCCGATTGTGGGTGGTAACCGCGTTGGTTTTCTCCGGGTCCTCCGGTTTCTTCCCACTGCTAAAGACCCCTGCGTGCGAGCGAATTATTGAAATAAAATTGAACCATGTTTGCATCGAGTTTACATTAAACCCCATTTCTCTCGGTCATACTTTTAGCTAACTTATATACAAGAGTATTTACAAATTTTAAGTAAACATGGACATATTTGGCAAACTGGATCAACAAGACGTGGACTGAACACGAAGGTTCATAGTGCAACGTGATATCAGGTGTTGGCAAAAAGGTACGCATAACCTGCCTCGAGGGCGATACCCGCCTGTCGTTGGTATGATGAAACGCCAACTTTGATAAAAAAAAAAAACCCAGTAGATAGATATGGGACGACAGCTGATTGATACATGTCATATTGATTAATAATTTCATGTGGGAACAATCCATACTGAAATTCCAGAGTAATTGTGTATTAACCTATATTCATATTGCCACCCTTTTGAATATTGTATTATGAAATAGATATGAATCATTACTTTACCTCCCCCATTCTTGGCACATAAATAAGGGAATCTCCAGATATTACCAATTCCTACACCATAACCAATCAAGGAAAGTAAGAAATCTAAACTTCGGTTCCATTTCATTCGAGTTGGTGCCTCCTTCTCCGTTTCCGGATCTTCAACAAATTTTTCAGTTTTCATTTTTCTATAAAACAAAAGGAACATCACAACAAATTGTTAAAACAAGATGGCACATTTTCACTAAAATAAAATAAATACCACATTTTGCTATAAAACAAAAGACATGGTACACTTTGTTATAAAACAAAATAACACTGCGGGCGAATTATTACTAAAACTAAAACAGCACCATCAAACTGTTGTTCGTATTTCATTTTGTCAATCTAAATTATCCCGAACTTTATCGGTAGCTAGTCCACAATAGCATTATGCGCAGAAATACTTGATGATTCAATAACAGACTAATGCATGTCCCTTGTTCCAGATTAAAGCTGTATAGTAACATATGTCTCTGAGGTTTAACTTACATTATGTAATAATAAGGTGTCCCAACTGTGACACTCCCCTCTGATGTCCTTATACACGAAAAGCCTACGTGTAACAATTATTGCTATATAATTAATTTCTAAATGACATAAATTTCTAAATGATCAATGACTTAAAACAACACAACTGGTTTTTATAGTGTAAATATGTTATGTTGTCACTGGTAATAAAAATAATAAACGTAACCAAATGGTATTGTAATGTATATGGTTTCTATTTTATGGATCGAAATTGTTCAATGTATCCGAATCTGTAAAGAGCCTCTAGTCAAGAACCAGAATTTGCTACTGTTGTTGAGGTTCCATTCATGAAAGCAACATTTATTCTGGTAGGTCAAGTAGTATATGTACAAATTTTTGTTGTCCAAATGGAATGTGAGATCATGCGTCGAACCGACTAACTCACTTCCTTTCTTTATGTCAATAACAGCTAGTTATTTATAAAATGTGGAAAGACTGTCAATAAATATTACACTTGTATGCTATACAAATTTAGATCAGTAAATCTACGGAACATATGGAGCCGAATCGTTGCCATATTAAGAAAAAATATCATGGTTAAAATTGCAAAAGTATCATAGCCAATATGGTAAAAATGGCCATTTTCGAGATTTTTCACATGTAAAAATCACTTAACACTTAATACATTTTAATGGATCTTTACCATAAAAAAAATTGCTCGACAAAAATTAACAATGTAAAAATCTAGTTTTGTTTTTTTTACTGTAAATTTTTCATCTTTGCATTTTCAACTATCAGATTTTCTCCATTGAATTTTCGACTATCACAATTTCTCCAATCTAACTGATCATATAAGGAAAGGGGCGTGTTTCCGAGTTCGGCCGAAGTAGACGTCATAACTCATCTGTTTTTATCGTCTGGACTAAAATTAATGCTCCCTGACTATGGGCACACGACTCATAAATCTACGTTGATATAAGCGGCTGATGCATTTGGAGTTCTTCGGTTAGCTGAAAGAATAGTAAGAGCAGGAGGACCGCATAGCACATAAACAATTACACAATACAAACCCGTGGACACGACACACAATATAGGCTACACATATATTTCAAACAATAAGCATGTCAAATCAAGTGAATGGATTCGGACTCATAAAACAATATTTAACGTAATATGTTATTTGTAGGCAATTGTTTAATCGTAGATACCATAGTGGTATACTTTACTTGAAGTACTAGTATGCCAACATCAAAAGATGACGTCACATCTGTATTTTTCTTGAAGACCACATAAATCTTATTAGGCCTACATACTGGCTACCGGGCTACCGGATACTTGTTTTAAAAAATTCCGCTTTGCCAAAGTATAAAATGCTAATGATTAAAAATAAATAACTATTACTAACATGATACCATTCGACCGTCAATAATATAGTTTTTTTTTTAACACTTGAGTCTTGTCGGAGATGTACATATAGGCCTAATAAGGCCCGCCTTGTATTTAAATTAATACAACTTTTGTTTCTAGTTGTATTTTAATTAATATAACTTTTGTTTCTAGTTTCACATTATTTAACTCCATGTTAATGTGAAAAGAACAAAAATGTTATGTCTTTACTGTCATGTTTTAATGACAACTGCATAATCCATTATATTTTAATATAGACAGTGGACAGGAAGACTCTGCTGCATGTTTTGCGATGACAACTACCGTACCTTATCATGATCGATTGAAAAGGTGAATTAAAATATTCTGCAACCTACCCAGTGAAACAATCATTCAAACCTCTTTTCGGGAATATTTTACTTTTTAATTATTTTTTTTTTACAAATTACAGATCTTTATCAACTAAATATTGTAACCGTTCTTGTGGAATAAATAACTTTGGCGGATCAACTCTTCCTGACGAAAGATGATATGTAGCACCATGAGTCTTTCTGTCTGACGTGGAGAGCGGACGAGGAAACCGGTCGCCACATCCTACATACGACCCATACATCTTTTCTTACTACATATTTCTGTAGCCTTGTGATCGTCTAGAATTTGTCTCTAGCTGTCTTTACTTCTGCTTCACGTTGTGTATTTACTTCTTACAGTTTCTTAAGACGTTTGTCGTACCAGGAATAACAATGCGACAGTTTGCTTCTACATATTTTATATATATATATATATAGCTGAATACAGGTATACAAGCATAATAGATAACAATACTAGCTAAAACCATTTCTCTACCCTAGCCAGCCTCGCGGCTCTCTAGGAACTCAGATGTAAGCTCTCTGGAACCTAATAGAAGCCTGGCGAATTCTCACCAGTATCCTAACTTTGTATCTACTGGTTTTGGACATTCAATTATCAAATTGGTCAAATATGATGTAAATAATTATAGAGATTGGTTAATTGAGCCCAATGACGTCGACAACCCACCCTTATATGGTGGAATGGAATTTTAATGAAGAATATTCTCATGAGATATCTGTTAACATGTTGTTGACATAGAACCAGTTATGTTATGGCTCACAATATGTCATTCAAACCCTAAGTTGATTTAAGTATTTTAAGTACATATTATTATCACATATTATGCGAATATGTTACTTCTCGAGAAAAAATTCTACTAAAAGTATTACATTCGTCCCTTTCTTTAAGACTTTTTGCCCGGTGTTGGGTAAAAGATCCCTTGAATCCTTTATAATAACCATACCAACATCTGTAGAATTATATAACTATTCATAAATGTAGCAGAAATCTAGAAAATCAACATATATCACCTCCCCCACTTGCAAGATTTATGCTAAATGAACAGGTAGGAGACTCTTAAAACTTCTATGTGCTAAACCCTATAATTATTCATGCAACAGGCAAATATCAATGATACTATACTATATAACAAAACTGTGAAAACACAAACACACATATAATCAAAAATCAAAAATCAAAAGTTGCATGCAAAAGTTCTCCAAAAAGTTTATCACTGTAAAATCCTACGAAAATCCACTAAGCCTAAACACAGAAAACACAACGTGTCTTTTTTAAATCTTCAAGTGTCCTAATTTCAAAACACTATAACACATCACATAATATTTATAAAGTTCAGGTTTCACTTTAAATTCTGTCTCAGGAAATGTCAATTTGGTAAACTGGTAAACCATTTCTTCTTCTTGGATTTGTATTGGTCTGTTTCAGCTACCATAGTATCAAGTTGAAACTTTCTTTTTTTCTTCTAAGTATGATTGGTACAATTTTATCCGTCAATCAAACATGTCATTGCCATCAGACCAAGAACTAACTATTACTATTTTTTTTTAAAACTTTTTTTTGATATTAGTCTAATATTATTATTAATATATTATTCCAAAATTTTTTAGCAAATCTTACTCTTAATAAGAATTAAACTTTATTTAAGTATTAATAAACTTTGATGTGTCCCTTTAATTATAAATCTTCAAACTAATTTTGACCTCTTGACCTAACTCGATCAGTAATGGACAATTTTATAATTACGTTTGTTTTATAATTTCCGTTTCTGTTTTAGAATTCCTACATTGTTATTTTATATTTCACCGTCAGTAATGTGACCTTTCGACCTAGTCACTATACAATTTTGTATTTCATTTTTTATAAACATTCCTATCAGACTGACACTGACACAAGCTGAGCTCACACTTATGACAATACCAGTGTTACATTTTACCTAGAATAGAACTGTCAATCAAATATGGCCAGTATATGAATGACATTCCATTTTATCCTACAGTACCTATTCCATCATTAGTATTTTATAAACACAACAATCAAAATATACCTTTTAATTACACACAATATTATATAACATTACTTAGAATCATGTTCAAAGCAAGTGATGTGCACCTCACTCCCCAAGAACATCAGTCGATATTTTATAAACAAAACAATTAGAACATACCTAACTTTTAATAACACATACAGTTAACTATATCCTATATATACTATTAAAAAAAAGTAGGGGATATTTGATTTTTAAATGTTATTAAAGTCACCTAATGAAACTGATGAAGAAACAAATGACAAAATGAAATGAAGTTCATATTCATCGATTTATTCCAAATGATCGTTAGACTAAGTAAGGCACAGACTGACCATTATAAGGGTAAAATGATACCCGGGGTCAAACAGCAAAGTTACCACAGCATCACAACCAAGTCAGTAACGGGTAAATCCTCCTCTGTTTGCCAAACAAGCATTGATCCGACGTGGCATACTCCTAATGAGACGTCTAAGGTCGTTTTGGTCCAGATTGTCCCATTCCTGTTGCAACGCAGCAGCAAGTTCTTGGACATTGGCAGAACGTTGTTGACGTTGACGTAACCTCTGTCCAAGCATGTCCCAGACATGCTCGATGGGGGAGAGGTCGGGACTCAGTGCTGGCCAAGGTGGTGATGTTCTGTTGTTGGAGGTAACCTGTAACGATCCTGGCCCTGTGACATCTTGCGTTGTCATCCTGGAAGATGAAACGGCGGCCATGACGTCGTGCGAACGGCACAACATGGACTGCCAAGATGTTGTCCCGGTAGTACTGGCCTGTAACACGCCCTGCAACAACATGTAAAGCCGTTCTTCCAGCAACAGTGATGCCTCCCCACACCATAACAGAACCACCCCCAAATCGATCATGTCTGATGACGTTAACGTCTTGGAAGCGCTCGTTTCGATGACGCCACACCCTCCTACGTCTGTCCAAAAAATCAACAGTGAACCTTGACTCATCTGAAAACATCACATTGCTCCAGCGTCGATTATCCCAGTGTTGACGATCCCTACACCAACGACGTCTTGCCTGAATGTGATGATCTCTCAAACAAGGGATCACGCGAGGACGTCGGGCGCGAAGGTGACCCCTATGCAGTCGATTCCGAATCGTCTGGCCACTCACTCTCACACCAGTGTCTGTTTGAAGACGAGCGCTGATCTGATGTGCTGTGATGACACGATTTCTCAAGGCCAAGGTACGGATAAATCGATCCTGGGCTTGAGTTGTCGACCTGAACGTGGTCTGTCCTGTACAGATTGTGTATCACGGTATCTGGACCATAGCCTGCTTATGACAGACTGAGAAACATTCATCGTCCGCGCCACAACCGCCTATGTTGTGCCGATCTGTAGCATGCCAAGGGCACGTAACCTTTCATTTTGGGTAAGCCGACGCATATCAAAATTTGTTTTCTGGTCACTAAAACAATTAAACTGATGTTTCCACCCTGGAATTCAATGCCACAATGACTGTAACATTCAAAGTCAGAGTCGTGCAAATCTTGGGTTGGACCCCCATGATGATCCCAAGCATCACATGCATTCCATGCGGTAGCTATTGGTGCGTTTGGGCGTCACATGTAACTGGAAATGTTTCTTCTGTTAGGTTCTATAGTGACTTTTTTCGTAGTCATTTGGATATTTTAGTATTATGCCCCCAAAATCAAATATCCCCTACTTTTTTTGAATAGTATATTATTTTAATGCAATCCGTGACTTTTACACCCGTCAAATTTAACACAGTATGAATACTATTGTTTATTATAATTCGACCTCATGTCAAATTACATATTCCTAATCATTGCGTACATGTCGACAGCTTAAAGCAATTAGCAGTATATATTAAACGTTAATATTACGTTTCTAAGCAAAAATTTAATTACATAAAATTATATACGGACAAAATTTACCGTATATCTCCACTTTTCTAAAAAGTGTCGTATTCTGAACTTTAACCTCCTATAAAACTCGTATTAATGACTTTGCGATAATCTCACAATTTAACGAGCCTTTGATTTTAGTTTTTTCCCAGGAAAACTATAACCAACATCCCTAGATGAACCATATGGGATTTTTAACATAACCCAACTTTTTAATCAAAAGTTAAATTACAACAACTCTAAGGCCTGGACTAAGGGCCTTAAAATTATATAGTATACGAAACAACAAAAAACACAAATTAACGAATCACAGTAGAAAGTACGGCCATCTTGAAAACTAGAGTTAATCACTCACAAACGTCATTCTTAGATCTGCCGTCTTTCCACTGCGATCCGGAGAGAACATTAGTTCCTTTCTTTATTCCTTATTCCGTTTCCTTATCATTATTATTTTTTAAAACCTACTCCCTAAAGACCCTCACTTTAACTTTAATTTTACTCAAATTTACTACAGGTCATGTTAACCTGATAATATACACACCTAACCAGTGATATTATATTGTTTAATAAACCTATCAATCTCAACTTATGAATGACTCTAATTTATTCTCTATACAGTTATATTTTAAATACTTAGTTTCTAATCAGATTTTAACTTTAAATTAATATTATTTGGTCTGTAAACAAATTTAACACATTTAATTTACTAAACAAAATGTATTTACCCAACTTTTCGAATATGTTCACCAGATTTCTTTTTTCCACCAGAATTTTTCTGTTGCTGGATTGTACAGATTTTCTTCTTAACGTCTTCAAATATGTATTCGTCTTCTAAAGTGACTTCTTACCCCAAAGGTCGAAACTTCAGCACGGCACCAAATCGAATATGTAAGACTATGCAGTCGCTGGTTAGATGTGGGAAATATGCCGGGAGAATCCCCTTTTCTTCTAATCTTCTTCAAGGATACTCGAGCTCATAGTCACGTGCACCAAATCGAATATGTAGCACCATAGGTCTTTTGTCTGGCGTGGAGAGCGGACGAGGAAACCGGTCGCCACATCCTACATACGACCCATGCATCTTTTCTTACTACATATTTCTGTAGCCTTGTGATCGTCTAGAATTTGTCTCTAGCTGTCTTTACTTCAGCTTCACGTTGTGTATTTACTTCTTACAGTTTCTTAAGACGTTTGTCTTACCAGGAATAACAATGCGACAGTTTGCTTCTACATATTTTATATATATATATATAGCTGAATACAGGTATACAAGCATAATAGATAACAATACTAGCTAAAACCATTTCTCTACCCTAACCAGCCTCGCGGCTCTCTAGGAACTCAGATGTAAGCTCTCTGGAACCTAATAGAAGCCTGGCGAATTCTCACGAGTATCCTAATTTTGTATCTACTGGTTTTGGACATTCAATTATCAAATTGGTCAAATATGATGTAAATAATTATAGAGATTGGTTAATTGAGCCCAATGACGTCGACAACCCACCCTTATATGGTGGAATGGAATTTTAATGAAGAATATTCTCATGAGATATCTGTTAACATGTTGTTGACATAGAACCAGTTATGTTATGGCTCACAATATGTCATTCAAACCCTAAGTTGATTTAAGTATTTTAAGTACATATCACATGTATGTTATTTCTCGAGCAAAAATTCTACTAAAAGTATTACAGATACTCTCTACCATGCCCTAATTGTCTTGTTTGCAATTTATTACATCGTCTAAGAACTGTAGAGCTTTTTTTTAAATTGATTAAGGCAGCCAGGCACCTCTTTTATAGTTTTACTTATTTCAAATATAGGCCAGAAATCCGCGCACATCCAAGCCGATGTGCTGTCAAAGATTCATCCGGCCTATTAAGAGAATGAGCCAACCTCAAATTTCGATGATATAACTCATTAAACAAAAAGTGGTTCGACATAACAACGAATTTATTTCATTTTTTTTTCTCCAAAAACATAAATAAAATCGGACAATTCTTAAGAAAAACCCAATGGAGTAGTAATTTTAGCCGAGACTATAAATACTGACGACTTATGACGTCAACTTCGGGTGTACCCGGAACCACGCCCTCTGTCCGTTCGATTGGAGAAATTTTGGTGGTGGAAATTACAATGGAGAAATTCTGATGGTTGAAAATGCAAAGATAAAAAAGTTATAGTGAATTTGCAAAGGCGAAAAGTAGAAAGTGAAAAAACATAACTAGATTTTTTTAGTTTGTTTTGATACTAATATAGTGATTTTGTGTTATGTGATAATTACAAGTGAAAAATCTCGAAAATGACCATTTTCACTATGATAATTTGTCAATTTTGACTTTTATATTTTCTCTTAATATGGAAACGTTTCGGCTCCATAGGAACATACCCCTGTCTGTAATACATTTGCAGAAAACTGGATCTCGCGGGTTTTGTATCGAGAGTACTTACTTATCAACATACCAAAAGTTTACCAAAATGGAATTGCGCGAGAAAATGTACATTCAATTCAAGATGGCGAATGGTGGCTTGGAAATGGTTGCTAAGACGTCATAGTAGCATCATAATGCAATGTCGAGATAAAAAAACGTACCATTTAAAAATAATATTATATTAAGGTGAATATGTTAATGAAGAAACTATGACACCTTAAAGATCAGGTAGTGTGTATCACCCTCGTCGGCATCACCTTCTCCATCTGTATCAATCTCAGGTTTGATGCTATTATCACAACTATCAGTTTGGCACGACCACATGCGCTCGTGCAAGAAAGTCCGTGTCGTCAACACCCACACCTAATTCAGTTACAGTGTGTGTCATGATTGGAAAAAGGAAAATGCTTATCATTAGCTATATTCAATTCCCATTCGCTCATTATTTGGTGTTCCAATAGCAAGCTTTGAAAAAGTTTCGTAGACACCTTCGGACAAACTTCGGCATACATAGTTTACATAGAGATTCCTTACCTAAATTGTTGTCAAACATTACACCAATATTATAGTCGGCAAACTTATGAGTGTCATTCTTAAAGATGCATTATGTAAGAGCTAAATCTGCATAATTGTCCACAGAAGGCAACTCACCCAGTTTCCCGATGCAGACAGTGTCATCTTAATAACTCCTTTGGTGGAACAGTCCGATGTCAGTGGAGAACAACATCAAAAATAAAATGAAATATAACTGAGATCTGCTTTTAATCAGATTATAGACAATGCTATTTGTAGGCGTTTTTTCGCCAGCTTAATCCACTACACAATGGACAGTACTGGAGACCAGTGCATAGGGCTTATCTTCTACTAAGTAATTTCGGCTCCTGAAATCCACGTTAACACTATCGCCAGTACCTTTTTAGTGTCATTTTATTTTTTACAGATTATACATTTGCTTCATTATCGATTCGAAGCATTTGTAAACGCGTTTTAATACCTGCTGTTCAAAATCACTTGATCACGCACCAAGCGTGGGATAATTCCTACTATTACAACATAAAAGCATGAAAATGTGGAGTTTTATAACATATATATTATTTAAGAAATGAAATATTTCTATTTCGCATATCAAGAAAAATAGCGTTGTAATACGGTTTGGTTTTTCTATGAATCGGAATATGAATCCGCTCAAGAGTAATTTTTATATTCTAATAATGTATTTATTTTTAGTGAATGTTAAATAAACTAACATTGCAATGGTAACAAAACACATTCCCTAATTAATTTTTGATTGGAGATTCCTAGTGATTAATTAATACCCAATATTGATTTTACAAATTTTCATCAAATACGCAAAAGATAAGTCCATTTTGTGTTGGGCGGTGTTTGCTAGAAATAAATCATGATCTTCTGTTTATTGCCTTTCCTGTCAAATTTGAAACTGAAACACCGATCTACGACATAATATTATGAGTATTATGCATAAACCCCGAACTTCAAGATAGCAGATACCAACACTCTAATACAAAGATTCACACACCGACGATCAAAACGTCCAAAAGTCACTTCTATATTTGTGATGCGCATGTATTGACAAACCTTACAGGGCGGTGAATGTTTCGCACAAACCCGTTGTCAGAAATAGGGGATTGTTTATTAGTAATCCACATTAACGGGGCTTGATTTAAGCAATATTGTATTCACGAGATACCGAAACAGGTCAATATCTTATGAGAATCAACTTTAATTAAGTACATAAGTAAAACCAGTAGTGTGGTTGGGCATTATTATCGTACTAAGTGCAACACAATTAACTTCATTCAAAACTAATTATGTCTATCTTGACCAATTTAACAGAAACATTGTTTGTCGCAATCAGTCAGATTGAAAGAAAACAAAACTCACCGGTTGTCACGGTTATCAGCTGCAAAAGTTAAAATTTGTTCGAATTCCAGACACGGAGAATGAATAAACAACCAACTCCGAAGCCGGTGTTGACGGGGAGTGGTGTGACAAGACTGTCGCAAAATCAAAATTATGTCATGGATGAGTAACAACTACAAATGAACGTGAGTGGTTATGTTTAGAATGAGTTAGGATGTTGTACTTTAATGAACTGACATAATTTATATACTAAACAGCAAAAGAAAAAAAAAAAAAACAACAAAAACAACGTCAGTAAGATTTTAAAATCAGAGAGGCACTTTAATCAAATCATTCTAGAAAACGACTTACTAGATGGATCAAAGCATTTTTTTGTGAACAGTATGTTGACACATTAGTGATTGATTCGTCACAATTCCAAGACATTACGGGAAGGTTTAGAGTCTGTACACAGTCTATACATCAGTATCTGGTGTGCCCACCGTGAGTGTCAATAACAGCAGCGCAACGTCTGTACATATGGAGTGGACCAGACGATTGATGAACGCCATTGGTACATGGAACCACACTCTCAGAAAAGCTTGGCGCAATCCATCGGCTGTGTTTGGTCTCGGTACGACGTTATTAAAGCTCCTCTGAATTTCATCCCAAAGATGTTCAATCGGGTTTAAGTCCGGACTAAGGGCTCGACAGTGCATAACGTTGACACTGTCTGCTATAGATAGTCCCGAGTAACTCTGGCGGTGTGGGCGCGGGCGTTGTCATGCTGGAAAACGTTGTTTCGATGACGTGCGAAATGTGGTATGGCGTGGGGTCTGAGAGCTTGATCGCTGTAGCGCACTGCTGCAATGCCGCCTCCTCTCCCTGGACCAAGATTTTGGAACACCACAGGACCCACTTTCTGGTTCAGGCCGATTCCACCCCAATCCATTATGCTTGGACCTCCCCATGAGTCTCGCTCCATGACACATTGGTCAGAATAACGCTGGCCACGTCGACACCATATTCTGGTCCTGCCATCTGCAGTTGATACGCAATACCGACTCTCATCTGTGAACAGAACAGTTCTCCATTGCCTGTGTCGCCAGTTCTGGTGTTGTTGGGCAAACTATTGACGCTCACGTCGATGGCAAGGGGTAGGGTCTACGGCAATTGATGTTATCTATGTTTAGACGTCGGCGCACTGTATCGGTACTGATGGATCTTCCGTGTGTTCCCACTATCTGACGTGCTGTCTCAGATGCCTGTGTAAAGGGATTACAATTTCATAATGTTCAGAATGGTCTATTTGCGGGGGAGTCTGGTTGCAGCAGTCAAGGTGATTCCTGTTCCAATGGCGTATTTGGGAGTTGTTGCCTCCAAAAATTTCGTCGTAAGATGTAGGTCGCTGCCCGTTTCATCGAATAACTAGGATTCGAGATGGGTAGGGGCGAACGTATCGGGACGACTAAAACAAAACGTTGGTTCCAATCGTCTTCCAAAAATTCAGACCAACCAGAAAGGGTCGTACCATTGGGCCGCGAACAAGGTTCCGAGAGTTTATTTATTTCGGGAATAATATGGTCGCAAAGCATAAACCCGAAGAGCAATGCAAAGAGAGGCGCAAACCGCGTGATCTTACGAAATATTAGGTAAATTACCCGGTCAGAACATAATTGACAGACGCCTGTGTAGATCTGTTTGTTGGTGGATGACCGTTTGTGGCTTGGGACGTGCAAAGTCTTATTTATTCAGCAAACGGGCTAGCCCTTAATGGGGCGTACGCGCGTTACACTGAGGACTAGATTTGCCCCGGACATATTGCTTTACAACAGCCGTTCTCCTAACCATTCCTGGAAATCTGCATCTGAAACTTTCACAGAAAAGTTAATTTCAGTCTCCAATGCACGTTACCAGTATGAAAAACAAATATGGTATATTAAAATTATTTTTTATTTCCTTTGTGTTATAGAGAATACGACTTGAATGAGCAGTCCCATCAAGATATTCAAACAAATTGCGGTACCAGAGGAAATGAATAGTCACGTCGTTCATAAATAACATGTATTACTCGTGTTACAGTTCTTTGGGGATAAGAAAGTCAAAGTTAATATTGGTGCGTACGTAAAAAACTATTTTCTGAACGGTGATAATATGTACTGAATTATTTTGTGTCAAGGCTGCAATTAACCATTCATTTGATAACGATATTTTAAAATATGAGAATTGTAAAAAGATAGATATTGTTCATATTTTTAAAACATTGGTCTGTGAGGTCCAACAAGATCACACAGCTCTCAACAGGTTAAATATGTTCTGTTTTAATGGGCCATATCTTTGAATACAATGCATAATAAAGCAGGGTCCTTAAAAATCTAACGAGCCAGAAAGCTGTGTTAATGGAGCATATCTTTGTTGAATATATCAGTGTCCTACATAGCCAGAGGGCCAATTATCATTCTTTAAGGTAAGAAGTGGTAAAGTGTGATGAATGAGTGACATTAAATTTAACGTCCTACCTTTCTGTGCCAACTTGGGTAATGGAGGCGGACCTATTACAGATATAACAAACCAGGATACAAGTAAAACTTAGAATTTATGACCACACAAAAACTAAAACGACCAGTATTATTCCAAAAGATTATTTATGCTTCTGTGATATCGGCAGACCGTCGTCTTAATGCCTCTATAATCATTTGCAGTACATTTTATGCACCAACATCGAGATCAAATTTTTATGTGGCGTACATTACTATTTTAATAGAACGTATTTTTACCGCCATTCTGCCATGGTGCCGCTTGAAACAGGTCGAATTAGACTCTTAATTAAAGCTGTGACATATGATGGATAAGAAGTATTTTTAAAAAAAAACAAAAAAAACCAATTGTTAGTCTTCGTTGAACATTATCTACGTCATCTTTAAAGGTGAATGTCGTGGTATGTTCAGCTACCTTCAAACTGCAGAACATACCTTCATTACAGGCTCGGATTTAAGGGGGTGGGGGAGGTTCACAAAAACATTCACAAAATCAGTAACAATCATAATATAACATGAAGGTTTGCTTAACTTGAATAAGACGGCCATCCGGCGAGATAACGATCGGCGAACAACTATATAGGCAATACGATCTATGTGCTATCGGGGCACTCAGTGTTATAGCCTGTAATTTGATGACATTCTTTGTGGGGTGGGATTGTGGATGGTGCCGTAGAATTTGAATCGTCCCCTCCCCTAATCACAAATTCAAGATCCGCCACTACTTCATTATCACTGTCCATGACGTCAGTCTGGCACAATTTGAGCATGGTCCCCTGGTAAATTAATTTTTTATGCGCTTGACTTATGATCGTCTCTATGGAAAACACTTCAAAGGAACAAGATCTTTACAGTTGGTTTAACGATTGTTCTTTCTCATTTATAATTAAAATGGCGGTGTATTAAAATGAATGGTCGATCAGTTTTTTTACAGTTGGTTTAACGATGGTTCTTTCTCATTGATAATTAAAATGGCGGTCTATTAAAATGAATGGTCAATCAGTTTTTCCGTTGTACCGCGCTTCTGTACTTACGTTCCACCTGAAAAAATTGTACAAATACAGCCCTCTTGTTGTTACAATATATTACTTAATGTCTCTCTCTCGACCATTAAACAATACATAATAAAGTGCCAAAAACATATTGTTGCGCGATGATTTTGTATTCGTTAACGTTATCGCATCTGTTGAAGGGCCGATGTGGTCGAGGTGAACAGGTCTTTTTTCATTCGGGGGTACGGAAAACCGGGGTCAACCTGTGTATACCTCGGCTTTCGCGCAAAAGAAGCCTTGGCAAAAGCGCTGCTGTCCGGGAAAACTGCTACACATACCATGTTTTTCTTGCTCCCTTTTTTCATGTTCTTAGGGGCGACACTATACCAAAAGGCCCGGGAAGTGTAACTAATCACTGTAAAGTAAAATAATACAGATTGAAATGACTGAACGTTTTAGCGCTTAATATCCACCTCCACACCGGATAATATCGCCGACAAGAAAAATGGAAATGGTGTTCTTGTTATTCAGAATTCTAACAATAAACTAGAAGCTTAGACATTGGTTGATTGAAACGAGTACTGGCTAATGAAGACGGGCATACGCCATACAGTGTGCTATAAGGGAAATTTTCCCCCGATAGCGGCGCTACGACCTACTCTTATATCGAATTCCAACTGTCAAGGGATCTTTTAGGTACACGCCAATGTGTACACGGGGCATCGGTTTATCATTTCATCCGAACGACTAGACATGGGGAAACCACGCTGGAAAAACCCGATAAACTTTCTGGGTCAACACCAAATTACTTTTTAATCTTTAATACATGTTTTACGTCGCGTCTCTGACCTCGAAAATAGTCAAACACATTATTATGGTGTCAATGTCCCATTTTTTGTAGAACTCGTTTGCGACCTTTCCAGCATAGTTTTACCCGGTAATATATTTTCTTTTTGAAAATGTCCCAGGGAACTTAAAGATGGTGATCGCCATATGCATTTATCTAGCCCAACACTCACCAAATACGACCAAATAGAGTGAGAGTGGGAAATCTGCTTTAATGCCTACTCGACACAAACTATGTCATTTTGGGACTAACATATGGTTCAATTCTATTTCAAGCGGGAGGAAACCGGGGGACCGACGGGGTTAAAAAGGCAAACCTTCTCCTTGTGACGTACAAGCGTGGAATCGAAACTACGCCACTTGACTTATTGACAGACCTTATTATCCAACGCGGACGCGTTAACCGTTCGACCACCCAATCCCCTACTACTAAATAATGTAACATACTGTCTCATTATGGTGAAAAACTGACAGAATTGGGTTAATTTAATTTCGTTTAGAATACACTAACAATGCTTAGGTTCGGCCAAAAACAATTGTATCTTAATATTGATTTTAATGCTATTAAATACTTAATTGTGACATTCTCTCTTGTGAACGTTGCCGAGAATTCTTGTTAATCCATTTAGTTTTTACAATACAATTGTAATGTGACATTTTGTCTTTTTACAGCAATAAATGGGTGGAATGATACAAATGAGATAATGTCCTATATTATCAAAAGTAGATTAGCGCTAATCATAGATTTAATCTCTAATTTTT